ATGTAACATAACGTAACGTTCTCGTCGCGAATTCGAGACTCTCGAATAGAATGCCAGTAACTTATCCAGATAAGGGGTTGTAAAACGATGCCGTAGCTATCTGCCAATACGCTTTTACCCTTCGCACTACCACCTAACCGGCCCCCTAACCAAACCACCCTCCTTGGCCTAGAACCATCCCATCGTCTAACTTAAAGCAGATATAGGGAGCAATTCCACAGAAATTGATGCCATTTGAATATCGCTGCTACGACAAGCCAAGACGAGACCAACACGTAGCCATTTACGCGCCTGCTGCGGATCTCTATCTGGCTAACTCGAGCCGTTTCGATACAACTCCACTAGGCTGATACTACAGGAGTACCAGACTTGCCATATATAGTCCAGAAAAGACGTATAGTCTTGCCTCCTTAGTTATTCTTTTTTCTTTTCATCCCTCGCATCTGTCCTTGTCTCTGATCCCAGAACACTTCTCAGCGTCTTAGTCAGCACTGCGTTTGGCCCAGAAGGAAGTGGAAGGCATTAGAAGAGGACGCAGAAAAAAAAAGGAGAAGTATATAAGGGCTGAAAAAGTAAAAGCTCAAGGAGAGAAGAATACTTTTCGTTTTATCGGCCATTTCGGGGCGAGAGCTTTGTCGCCACTGTGGGAATTACATTTCGTTAATGGGAAAAGAAGCTCGGCCAGACGGTTTTGGTATTCTTCTAGAATGTTGATTTGGTATCGTGCTCTTTTTTTTGTATATCCGGTATTTATATGCCCGCGGGTGTAGTAGCGCTATAGGTAGTACGCTTTCGCTATGATGCTTTGGCGAAAAGGGGTTTGTTTATCGGGCATCATGGTAATAGCACTGGTTGCTTTAGTTGCGTCAGTCAAAATATGCATTACTAGGTAAACGTCAATGGCGCTTCTTACCTTATATGCATAAAAATCTTTTATATTTTCTACCCCTATTCTGTATTATATCTTTTTGACTTTATTTTTATATATACGCAATATAGCTATACTATCTGTAGCTCTGTACCACGTAACCCCTTTTCAGCCATATTTACCGCACGCAGCCTGCACACTCTGAACACTCTGAATCTCGGAAATCCCAGCTCTTCTTCGAATACTCGCAGTCTCGTTCAGTCGCTCACGAATGTTTCGCCAGGATGTATCGCAAAATCTATATTACGGGGATGGGCTAAAGGGGGGAGGGGAACGCTATTCGAGAAGGGCGAGCCCCGTCACATTTCACTACAGACTAATAACTTCTGAATATTCATTTCGTGTTTCTCCTTGCCTGCTTGAGCGCCGTAAGCAAGGCTAATGCGACGTTCACAACGAGGACTTTGGAATATTTTCCCAAAGTATTGGCTGCTCTTTCTCAGCCACTTTGCACGAAGTTACGATACGAGGGAGAGATATATGGGTGCTGAACGAATTGACAAATTTTTTTGCAAAAATTTTTGCAAGATTCACTGCCTTTGGGGATTTTATTGTGAAATTAATTTTGTTGACGAAAAATTTGGGGTGGTTTGCATCGGCGTTCAATTAGGTTTACGTAGCTTGGAGGTTTCGGAGGACAAGGTATTGATAATAGTGGTAAGGGTGGATGGTCGGTGTGAAGTCAGCCT